GATCTTTAGGATTAGCATGACTCCATATATGTGTGGTTGTATACAGTGTTGAACCATATCAGCATATGTATAGATTTTCTAAACAGCGCATGATGTTTCACATTAATAAAGGAAGAGAAAGTTAAACAATGAATAAGGCTCGAGGGATGTACAAATATACTCCTTCTATTGTCATATAATTGGGATGAAACCTCGCTCTATGATTTTGTGAAGTGAATTTCCTCTCTTAGGTACAGCCTAGGCCCATATTTGATATTGATGCATTGTGTGCAACTAACTGTAGGGGTTAGCTACCTAGCTTTCAGCTTATCTTAGGTGAAGTGGTTACTCATTAAGTATATATTTACTCATTAAGGATCGATGTTTGGTGCAATTTTCAGGCTATAAGGGTACCTTGTAAAATAAATAAATAAACACAAGGATATTTCGTGAACAAATCCTCTAAGAAGACTAAAATAACTCTTGAAAGGATGTAGACTATGAACCTTAGATTTGAGCACCACAAAAGTCCAATAATGTATTAAGGCAATTAGATATAATAGCTTATTAAATCGAAATTTCTTGATCAAGTATTTCCCTATGTATAAGATCAATATATGTGGGACTATTATAACACTAAAAGTGATGGGAAAATTAGGAAGGGTCTCAAAGGGGAAGGAAGAATTGAAATTTAAGATTTTAAAAAAAGTATAAATAAGAAACAAATTACAATGTGCTACATGACTTAAAGGATGATTTTTGATCAAATGGTTAACATATGTAAGCAATCATTTTGCAAAGATGCATTCAAATTATGAGATTAAACATACACATTGTACATGTTTTTGGAAAACCGATCACTCAAACCAAACTAAAATATGACACAAATTCTTATATGTGTCCGGCTATACGGTGTGGCCATCCATTATATGAAATACCTCAATAGTGTAATAGAGGTTACTTGGTCAGTGTTAAAGGGGTTAATTCGTCTGTATTATAAGAGTTACTCGGTCAGTGTAACAGCGGTTACTTGATCAGTGTTATAGGGATTACTTTATTATTTTAAAAGTGGTTACACGGTGTGGTCAACCACATACAAGAGTGGCTAAAAACATGAACTTAATATCGCCAAAGTTGTTATGATTTTACTTGCATTGCCAACTGGTACATGATTTCGATTAATTTATACTCAAATAGAATAACTTATCATTAGAACATAATTCGATCTAGTTAAGCCAACTCAAATCAACCTCGATACAATAAACAACTTGCCACCTCTAATTGCGGTTCACCACAAATTCCCTACATAACTAACAGTCCAACAATGAGGAAGTAACGTGAGAAATATATAATAAGGCAATGACGTAAGTTCTAGTGACGTAAAAACCAAATTAAGTCTTCTAAACTCTTTTAATTGGCTTCACAAATATATTAAGGTAGCAAACAAAAATCTTTTGCACCTCATTATTATGGACACAATTGATTAGTAGAGACTAGAGTAATGCTATAACATGTGATTTTGTTATGGGAAATGAATTAGAAGTGGCAGCATAATCTTTTTCAATCAAAATCCTCTTTAATTTCCTCATAATTATGCCATTTATCGTCCTAACCCATGACACAAGCACATGCTTACTATTGTTATGTGGAGTTTATTTTCTTTAGTTTTAGTTAGGCATGAGTTTATTCTCCTTTCATTCGATATACCGCGTTGAAAAAAATAAAATAACAAAATACGTAGTAGTAATATTCGTCGAATCTCTTTCATCTCAAAGGTTTATTTGCTATGTCCTTAATAGATTTTACAAAAAGTTCTTCGTTTAATTTAATTCATGCCTTTAAATTTCAATAAATTTTCATGCGTGTTGTGACTTCCATGATTTATTAGTTACTCTTTACATATTGTATGTTAAATTATATTTTGCAGTTAATTTTATACAAACAAATTAATTCGCTAATAGAGAGAATACCGTCTCAAATCTAATGTCATACTTCATCTACAAAGTACAATATGTATATTGAGTTAGATCAAACTTCTATTTTAAATTTATAATAACCCTCTTGTAAAAGTTTATATAATGAAATAATGGTATGAAAGAGAGAGCATGATATGATGAATTTACGATCTGTCTTACATAGAAGAATTGAAATCTGACTAGGAGATTGATTTTAACTAACTTGATATACACATAAGATATTGTTACACTTTGATATCTATTAAAAATGACATATGACTTTCAATTAGAGGATAAAATTTAATTTAGTTTTTAAATACATAAAAAGAAAAAACTATAATTAATTTAGTTAATTATATTATAAAGAATATAGAACTATAGAAGCCAATATGGTTGTATGGATGTATTTAGACTCATCAAGATCTACAATAATGTACATTTGCCTAACTTAAGAGTATATTTTTTTTTGACATTTCTTTCGAGGAAGAAACCTACACTATCAAAATAGTAAGAACAAATAAGTCCCTATTGAAGATGTTGCATCATGCTTAATTGGACTATAGTGACCAAGTTCAACAAATTTTTCGATGATTCGATCATCTGTCTGATAGATGTGATTAAAGTAGATAGTGTGGGATGAAAATATGAGATAAATATACTCGTTTTTTTTTTCAAATTTGTGCAAATTGAAATAGCATTATTGGGGTCTATTCTCTTCAGCTTATTTTTTAATTCAGTTCAATTAAGTTCAGTTCAGTTCCTAATTTCCTTCTCTCATAAAATATTCAGTGCAGTTCAATTCAACTCAGTTCAGTAAATCGGAACAAACCCTTAGTTTTGAAGCTATTGTCAACCAAAAACATGAATTAGGTAAAGAGTTAATCTTATTGGTTTGTAGAATCTATTTCTCAGTGTTATTTGTTTCTAGTTTTTTTTGTTTTTGAAACCCAAATAATTAATAAAAATAAAATAAAGTTTTCATTTTTTTTTACTGTCAGTTTACTAAATTGTCATGGTTTCAACATGTTTGCCTAACTAGTGATTTATTATATGACACATATATAACATCATATGACTTTCGAAAAAAAAACCTACAGTATTACCGAACATACCATAAATTATCTTGTTTTAGGTAGGGACTTTTAGGTATGACTTAAAACCAGGTTAAATTAATTGTCCAGACATAGGTCAATCCAGTTAGACATAAGTTCTAAAAAAAAAGAAAAAAAAAAAAGAGGTAAGACATAAATTTATTTGGCTTTCATTAACATTGCATTCTTGTCTTAAAAAAACCCAAAGAGAACCTCATATCTTTCTTATTCTACCAATCCCAAATTCCAAAATCAAATCTAAAGTTAAACATCACAAATCAAGTTAATATTAGATCCAAATTTATGGCATAACTTAATATCTACCTCATATCAATCTCATATACCAATTATCTAAAATTTAATTGTCACCAAGATCCCATCCCTAATCTTGATTATTACAATAAAAGGATTTGATTTTGTTAAACGTAATTTCAATTACTATTAGTAAGATCAACAAATCTTGATTACTTAATTAGTTATTACAATAAGGATTTGGGTCGTATGTAAATCATGCTTTAATAATTTATTTTTAACAAAATTGATAGGAGTAGAAGGCATCACATAAAAATATGGGACCACTTATTTGCGTCGCACATAGATACAAAGTATCGGACTATGTTTATCGTATATCAAGCTATATTCAACTTTTTAACGTAATAAAATTAAAATAATGGAAAAGTAATTAAATAGTTAGGCAATAACTCGGTACTCTTAAAAATGTGGCGTACTTGAGTGAAGTTGATACTAGGATCCAATTCAATATTTCCCAAGATTATCTTTACATACGCTTACTTGGTCATGTATATGAATCTCTATTAAAGTATGTATTGATTTAATAATATCCATAAATTATAAAGATAAAGACGAACATGTTATTTATGCCAAAAATTAATACTAAAACACGATCCAATTTCCCCGAAACTAAAATATAGAGTGGACTGTACTAGTAGTGGTATTATTTTATAATTCTTTATCCCATTTGTTAATATACATCATATGATTTAATTGTCTTTAACATTTCTACATGAAATCAATAAACTATGACTATATTCCCTCAAAAAAAAAAAAAAACTATGACTATAATATTTTGACTATTATATAATGAGGAAATTTGATTATGTAATCAACGTAATATTGACTAGTCTCGTACACATGAATATCAACTTAAGTAATTAATTTTAATTTGCTAAGTATTCTGTAGTTTTAGGTAAATCCGTATATGTGTGAGGTTGATCAATATCAGATTTTAATGTTGACATCCTCTAATTGAGGGTTCTATTGAACAATAAATTGGACAAGTATATATGAGTATCAACAGTAACTATTCAACGCAAAGTATTCCATATATTTATTGTTTGATTTTTGTTGACTAATTGCAAGTTGCACATAATCTTTGAAACGAGTAAGCTGCACATTTAGGAATCCAATTACAAACATGTAGGTATAGGTGTGTAACTATATTTACATTTTTTTTTAATAGTAAATAACTATATTTACATAAATATGGTAGTTTCAGATCTAAAACATTTAGTACTTCTGTACTTCGTTTTTATTATCTCTATTTCTCAATAGACGCACAAGTTTGACTAACACTTGTTATTCAACTAATTACTTTTATTTAAAAAAAATAATTAACATTAACACAACAATAACAATCAAATTTATACTACCTCCTCCGGATCGTATTATATGCAACTATAGAATTTTTTATGTCTCACAAATAATACCCCAAATTTGCATATAATACAATTCGAAGGTAATATAATAATACAATTCGAAGGTAATATAATAATACAATTCAGTGATAGTAATATTTTTATAAATATTACTCGTAATTAACAGTAAAAAGTTAAAATGATACTTGACTATACACCTCATTATGACAATAGAAAGATACTTAAAAATTTAATGCAAATCAAAAAGATATACGCAAGGTATACATACGTAGTAAATCCGATATACAAGTATATAAAATAAAATCCAAAAGGATTATATTATGGAGTAGGAAAAAATTAAAGAAAACATAAAAATAGTGTGTAAAAGTGGGTATTTGACCTGGAAAAAGTCCAAAATTTGCCTGATCTACTTAGCCACCACCTCTCTTTCCCCACTCCTCTACTACTCTCTCTTAGTTGACCGACTTCACTTCTCTTCTCCAACAACTCATTTCCTTTCCTTTCCCCCTTTTCCCAAATTACTATATATATATTCCCTTGCTTTCCCCTACTTCCCCACCACAACATTATTTACCTACAACACACCACAACACAACACAAACTCATTTCATTCTCTCACTCTTTCTCTTCACTTCCACCAAATTCATTTCAATCTCTCCTTCTCTCTTGGTTGTTCATATATGGCTCTTGAGGCGCTCAACTCGTCCAATTCACCGATGAAATCCGATGAGAATCTCATGATGACCAAGAAGAAGCGGTCCAAGCGGCCTCGCCTCGACTCCCCGCCTTCCGAGGAGGAGTACCTCGCTCTCTGCCTTGTCATGCTCGCTCGCGGCGCCACATCCAAAGAAAAGGAACAATACCAACACCAACAACAACAAAGGGTGACGTACAAGTGTGGAGTATGTGACAAGGAGTTTCTTTCTTACCAAGCTTTAGGCGGTCATAAAGCCAGTCACCGGAAACCGGCTGTCGTAGACGGTTTACATACCACAATAGCAACCACTGCAACCGCTACCTCGTCTTCCTCCACCTCTACCGGCGGTGGTAAATCGCACGTGTGCACGATTTGTAACAAGTCTTTTCCTAGTGGTCAAGCCTTAGGTGGTCACAAAAGGTGTCACTATGAAGGTGGGATTAGTAATAATAATAATAAAAGTGTTTCGGCCACCGCTATTATAACCGCTACCGCCGCTGCGAACTCCACCGTGTCTGACGGCGCCGCCGCAACATCCACCGTGACACATAGTCGTGTCGATTTCGATTTGAATTTACCGGCGTTTCCTGATAATCATTTGACCGTTGACTTTGATGGTGTTATCAAACAAGCTTGCTTTGATCAAGAGGTTGAAAGTCCACATCCATCTAAGAAGCCTCGCCCTTTTAGTCTTCATTGATTTATTAATTACTTCAAAAAATACTTTTTTTTTTTTTGGGTATTTCTTGTAAATAATAGAGAGGTTGATTCTTGTCATTATGATTATAATTATTATTGTTGTTACAAAATTATTATTGGGTGAAATATTTATTAATAAATTTTAGTAGTAGAAATTACATATTGATTTGATTTATTACCATGTAATTAAGAAATTTTTTGTACATATTATATATGCAGTGCAATATTGTTCATTACGACTATAAATCAATAAGATCACAATCGTTTTAATACATAGAGTATATTTGAACTAGCTATCAAGCTTTTAGTGTTGTTTCAATACTTTAACCAGCTAAGACAGTTGGCAAGCAATCTTGATATGCATTTACGTATAATAGTTGATTAGTCGATTATAGTCGGCATTAGAATAATTTAGGTTAATAATGGAGAATGGATGTATGTGGGCTGGAATAGAGTAACAAAAGGTAACCGCCTATGTTTCCTTAGTTGCCCATGTGATTTGATTACCTCTAATTTAGTGATGATGTGTTAATGTGTTAAGGTTCTTTTAACTTAACGTGCACATGTTTGGCATGGTTTCAGATAGATAACAACTTTAAACACTTAGCTAACCTTTACTATCCTATTATCTTATTTAGTTTTTGTCAAATGTTATTTATTATAGTATTCATTCATTCAATCTGTATGTGTGGTCCAACATATTTTCCTTATTCCTTCCAATTTTCTCCATTTCTTAACCAACTATTGTATGCCAATTACAAAGCGACACCTCACCCTTTTTGAAGCTTCTTCTTATAATTTATTTATTTTTTATTTTGTTTTTTCGAAGGTGATAGAAAGTAATAACATGCCACCTGGGGTTTTCAAAACACGGCTCCAAGTTTTGTAGATATTATCTCTTTATTACTCCTTATTAGTCGGTTTATAATTATCTAATAGATTAAGTCAAATTTAATAAGATTGCACATGACTATGTTTTTCCTAGCTTTTATTTAGCATAACTATCCTATTGTCAAATTAGAACGTATATATGCAACATAAAAGTCAACATGTTATAAGTATTAAGAAATCGTGCTAATACAGGTTCTCAAAATTGCTTATTAGCTAGTGATCAATAGAAGTACTTCGTAATGTATTACTTCCTTTGTTCCTTAATACAGAAGTCGGCTCAAAAGGAGAGGTGCTCTAGTGGAGTACGTCAAATAGAGGAAATAGTCCCTTAAAGAGGAAAAACAGTGAGTGAGGTCATAGTTACATCCGTGTTAGCTAAGTTAGAGTATCCAAAGAATAAGGTGGTGTTAATTTAATTATTAGTTAAGTAATGAATCTCTTCACCTTCAAAGTCCAGTCTGTATATGTGTGCTAAGTGTGAATGCAGTGTGAATTGTGAATACTTGTATTTTTATAATTTGGGCAATATTAAGGTGGACAATTGACATTTATTGGAAGCATCTTATTAGCTTGTTGATCAATTACCTAGTTGACTAACCAATAACATTACCTACTATGAGAGATTACTATATTCGGAATAATTTTATATTTTGCATATTGTTAGTTATAATATTTCCATTAATAACCTCACAATTTATTATTAATTCTTTGTTTTAGCATTATTTTTTTCTATTTTTTTCCATCACTTAACACTAGCGTTGTAAGTGTTTATTTTCTCAACTGTTAAGTTTTATCCTCAAATTCTAAAGGTTTAGTCGTCTTGAGTGTAATTCTAGTCTAGTACTCTATAAGATAGATGATAGGACTTTCATTAGCCTCCCGACTACTATCGAAAATTATATATGAGATATAAAATATTCCAAAATTGCAAATAATAAAAATCGAAAGTAGTACTAAAAAATATGAAGTAGTACATAGCTCTAACTATACTCGAAAACAAGATATATTAAGGGTCCGTTCTCTTACGTTGAAATTCAGCTCAGTTCAGTTCAGTTCAATTCAGTTCAGTTCAATTCAGTTCAGTTCAGTTCAATTCAGTTCAGCTCCTAATTTCCATCTCTTATAAAATATTCATTTCATTTCAGTTCAGTTCAATTCAGCTGAGTTCAGTCAATGAGAATAGACCCTAAATTTTGCAATTAAGTTATCGTTTAAGGATCATATATATTTTCGAGCATTGTAGAAAAATGCTGGCCGACTCCCAAATTTGGATGGAGCTGAGATAACTAAATTTAAAATATCAAAAAGTTACTTTTACCATTTTAGGATTTAGGATCTAGATCATGATTTTTAATTGCATCCATGCAAATGATGTGATTGTGAATTTGTGATACGTTAGCGTGTAACATGTACTATATTTAATTTGTGTTTTACTTTTCCTAAAAATAAGCGAGACAATTTTAAATCTAGGTCATTAAAATAATTTATCTACGGAACCCAAAATATGACAAGTGTCAATCACCCATTGACTAATTAATTAAAAATACAAAAAAAAACATCTTTTAAAAAAAATCTACGCACAAAACATATTGTTGGTGAGTTGTGATTGAGTGTAGTGGAGAAGCAGGGTGAATAAACAGTACAGATAAGATTGACAAGGGTAACCAGCGAGTATTATGCTAAGGACAGGTGCCAAATCTTATTTGTATAAAAACTATATAATATAATAAAGCTTTTATTTATTTTGTGGATATATTTGTGACCTTATTTTATGGGGTTATGATGTGTAAGTGTAGCAAAGCTTAAGGCTTTGAGTAAACGACACATGTAAAGAGTTATTTTATAAAATTAAAATTAAGTGATGTGTTTTTATAAAATGATTAGTGGAGGAGAGACTGCAAGAGTATACTCGTAGTATTAATAAATTAATTAAGTAATTATCTTAAAAAAAAGTTTAGATTAAGGTTAAGGGTTTGCGTGTAGGTGATGATTAAAGAGGTGAGGGTTTGAGGAGAGTGTTGCTTCTAATTTTAGTTAGCTTTGGAGAGTGGAGTTCTACGGTTACGCGTTAGAGTGAACACTTGTTGCAAGGTATAGAAATCAAACTTTTTGAGGTAATGAATTACGTAAAAAGTTATGTTGGTAAGAAAATTGGTTAAAAAGGGTTAAAAAGTAATTAATTGATAGGGGATAAGTGTAGGGCTTGTGAAAAAAACCCGATAAATCGGAATTGAATATGAAAGTTGAAAAATTCGAACTAAAAATATTATTATAGGTAATTGAATTAAACTATTAGGTTTAGGATTGAATTTTTTGAATGTGTAAAAAATATGAAATGAAATTGTGGATAAACAAAGTAAGTAATTGAACATCACATAACATATATACATAAGATATATGAACTACATATTGAATGTTTATTTTAATTGCAAATGGGGAAAAGGTAATTCGTCGTTGCAACATAAGACAATTAGTTAAGAAAATACTAGTTATAGTAGATGTGTACATGTGTTACATGTGTATGTCCATAATTCCAACAAAGAATTTTTTAAGTAATAAATGAAATAATTTTAGTGTCAACCAGTGTCGTCGCTGGCCCAGGGCAGCCGGGGCAGTCGCCCAGGGCCCCGAAATCAAATTCGCTGTTTTAAGGAAAAATAGTTAAGCTACAAATATATATTTCCTTAAATGTTATACTAATAAATAAGCTAGCTTAGTGGTCAAAGCAAGTTGTTATAGTGGAATTTAATTGGCCTTGTATTTCAGCAAAACAGGGTTCAAGACCTAACAGTTTATCTTTTTGTTTCTTTTTTTACTTCTTTCTTTACTTTTAATCTATATTCTTCTTTTTATTTTAACCATTAGTTATTTTGTTTGGTTTTGTTTTTAATTTTTTTTTCCAGAGCATATAATTTTCATTATTTTTACTTGTTTTCTTTTTTGTATTTGTTTCAATCTTCCCTCTCATTTTTTTAATTTTTGAGTTTCATTTTATAGTCACCTTTACAAATTTTTTATTTACTACTCTCCCATTCTATAATATTGTACAAAATATTTTGAGGCACTTAAGAAGATGAAGGAAACATTTTAAAATATGTTAAATAAAGTGACATTTTAAAACACCAAAAATAGATTACATGCAGTATAATCTGAGACAAACAAGGTATAATATTTCTAATAAATCTTATGAAAAGCTAAGTATATTAATACTATTCATTTTGATTATTTCTAATGCTTATTAGTACATATATGATATTCCCAAGTCCCATCCGCATGATTTTCTTCTTGTTTTTTTTCCCCCTACTTCTTTAAAGTTTGTTTATTTTTGTTTACTTTTTTTTTGGGTTAGTGAATTTTATGCTACATAGATAAACATTTTATTTTAACTATAGTATATTCGCACTTTAAGTTAATACAGTACTATTATTTTTTTAAGTATAGTTTTACGGAAATTGAATGTATATTTAGTATATTGCGCACACCCAAATTTATAGGGGCCCCTAATTATTAGTTTGCCCTTAGGCCCCTAAAAACTCAGAAACGGCCCTGGTGTCAACATAGTTGCAAATTTGAAATAATCATTATGCAACAGAACTCAATATTCGAATAAGCAAGTATCAAACTATTCAAAAAAAAAAAAAAAAGGCAAGTACCAAAAGTTTTCGAAATACTTTGTATTTTAGAGCTAATAATAACAAGGCAACTTGAAATTAGAGGTATTAAAAACTGACCTGCAGAAAGACTTACGTGGACCTGATCCACAATAATGTTATTGTGGACCCGAGACTTATACACACGCAACTGACATTATATTGAACCTAGTGACCTTTAGTTTTTACATAGTAATAACCTTATTTTTAACATAGTAACCTTTATTAAAACTAGTATACCGTTGAATATTATTGTAAACTTAAAGTACAACGTTATGACCCTAAATTTAACATAATGATCTTTATTATTCATTTAACCAGTATATAAAATATTTCATTACAAAAATTAACCTCTTACAACCTATATATTACCAAAATAACATTTATTTCAACATAGAGACCTTTTTTCTATTATAGTGACCCTTTTTTTTGACAGGGTAAAGTTGTATCCCCTAATCAAAAATAATTACCTAAGTCCTCTAACTAAAGTAGATAGGGAAGTAGGGTCGAACTCCACAGGGAAACAAGTCTTTCTATTCCTAATTAACTAAAATAATCTAGATTATGAAGTAACCAATATGTGAATTTGAATGTAAAACTAAACTACGAAGATTAAGAATAAGGAGAGAATAATATATAAAAGGATTTAGGGCATAGGTTCACCAATAAATAATATTCCAGGGTAGATTATAATA